TGGGGCTTTGTGGCCTGAAGAGATGCAGCACCACAGCGCAGGCAGGAGCAGGATCGGCCTTGGCTGGGCGCTTTCTCCATGGAGGTGGGCTGCACCCCGCCTGCTGCAGGGCCCATGTGGGAGGTGATGTGATTTCCTGGCTGAGTGCAACACGCTGAGCAAGTGCTTCTGTTATTTTGCACTTGCTCCTGTTCTGACTCACCATTGCTCATCGGTAACCCTGGCCCCATCACCTGCGACTGCCAAGGGAAGGTGCATCCCAGTGCATCTCACTATATCCCATCGCATTCCATCCCATTCCACTGCATCCCATTGCATCCCATTGCATCCCATTGCATCCCATCCCACCCCACCCCATCCCATCCCACCCCACCCCATCCCACCCCATCCCATCCCATCCCACCCCATCCCACCCCATCCCATCCCATCCCATCCCATCCCACCCCATCCCATCCCACCCCATCCCAACCCATTCCATCCCATCCCATCCCATCCCATCCCATCCCATCCCATCCCATCCCACCCCATCCCATCCCATCCCACCATCAGCTGATGTGAGCAATAAGTGCTGCTTTTGAAATGTGATGGCGGTTCCTCTTTGCAGCACCCACCTTTGGCTGCTGCAGAGTTTGCCACCATGGAAACCCCCCCATGGAGCCCAGTGCTCCTCCAGAGCAGTGTTCAAGTATGTGGCTGTGCAGGATGTGCCAGGTAGGACGTGGCACTGCTGCTCGCTTCGATTTTTAATTGCATTGTATGGAGAAGCATAAGGTGGCTGCCATCCCACAATGGCCCCAGGTGCCACTGGGGCTGTCCCTGATGGTGTCCCCAAGACATGCTGCTCAGTGGCACTGCTGCTGTGCTGGCAGCCATGCAGCTCTCCCTGCCTGTGGGTGGTTCTGCTGCCGTGCCAATAGACTGCAGCTAAAGCTGTTCTCTGGGCTGTCAAACTCAGCTTTATTTTTCCTCACCAGGTGAACAGCGGGGCAATGGCAGAGCCTGCACCCACCATCCCTTGGGTGGCCACGTCTGCGTCCTGCTGCTGCTCCATGCAGTGCTCAGCACCATTTGCTTCCTTTGTGCCCTTTAATTCCCAACACCAGTGCAAATGGGGAGAAAAAGGAAGACGGGAGAGCTTCGCAGCTTCCTGGGCTTCCTCGGGCAAATGAACCTCCCTCCCATCCAGCTAAAATGCTAATTAAGAAACATCACATCTTCCAAGGCCAGAAATGGAAACAGCCACATGGAGACATAATGGGATTAACATGTATCAGGGGATTAGAGCAGCGGTGGGGATTTGGTGGCTCCTGCCCCGTGCCCTGCAGCAGTGTTTTTCTCAAAGCTCCCTTACAAGACAGTCAGCACAGAAACAAACGGTGAATAACACCAAGGGCTGAAGGCGCACAGCGGCGCGGAGGCACAGCTGGGTATGGTTACATGGTGAGCACAGGTGCCTGGAACGGTCCCAGTTGGCACCGGGAGGTGGGAACACTGAGCTCAAATTCAGAAGGCTGCATGGGGTTGGGGCTGTGCCTGGGCTCCTCGCTGGGAAAGCACTGCTTGCTCTTTGTCCCAAACCCAGGAGCAGCCCTGCAGCTCCCTGGGCCGAGTTCTTCTTCTCCAATAGCTTCACTTAAGGCATCTGTAAGCAGACAGCATCACGGCTGCCTGGAGACCGCAGCACGGTGCCAGCACCACTGCTTGAGTCCAGCACACAGCAGCTGGAGGTGGGTAACTGCAGTGGGAGCTGCTGCTGCCATTATGCAACGTGGGGCTGTAAAAGCCGCGGCGGGGTCTCGCTTTCAATGTCAACACGAAAGGCAAAGAAACTCTTTTCAGTGATGTCAACTCCTGGGCAGTGGAATTGGCAATTAGGGAACATCTGTTCCCCATAGGCCGAGCGGGCTGCGAGCCGCCGCATGGCAACGTAATGGGATTAAAATGTATCACCGGATTATGGCGGTGCTGCAGAGATCAGCTGCTGGGAGAGTTCTTAGGAAATCAGGGGAGAAACAATTTGTCACTGACGTAAGGCACAAGAGCTGCTCCAAATGGGGATGCACCGTGTGGCCCCATTGGTGCCGCGTTGGGCTCTGAGTGATGTCTGTGCTATGGGGCCACGGGCTGTGCTGGGGCTCCTGGCTGTGCTGAGTGCTGTGGGCTCACTGGGCACACTGGGTGCCATGGGTGCCATGGGCTCCTGGGAACCATAAGCTCACTGGGTGCCCGGGGTGCCATGGATGCACGGGGAGCTGTGGGCTCACTGGGTGCCATGGGCACACTGGGTGCAGTGACTGCACACTTGCAGCAGGACCACAGAAGGGAAGGAAAGGACGGCTGCATCACATGAGGGGGAGCGTCCGCCTTGGCTCCCTTTGAGATTTCCGGATGATAAGCAATTAAGAGAGAGAGATTTACAGAAGATTAAGTCCGAAGGCAAAGATCATTATCTGCTGAGGCACAGGGCCGTGCTGTAGGGCAAGCTGGGAGCTCTGCGTCCTGCTGTGTGTCGTTTACAGGCATGCAGCCCTTCCCTGCTCTACTCAAGCAGAAAGGAGCACACTGCTTTTAGTGTTTAATTGCAATCATTTCCAGTTCTCGTTCGCTCTGAATGCGGTGCGTGGCGATGCCAGCTCATTTGGAGGGTAACCCAAAGAGCCCCGCAGCAAAGATGCTCTCAGCAGTGCCAGAGCTTGGGAGATGAGAGGTGCTACATCTGTGCTCCCAGCATCAATCCCAACCCTGTGGGCATGGTGACCGCTCTGGAACCGCGCTTCCTCAGCTGTGAAATGAAGATAACCCACTGGTGTGCTTTACAAGGGCGCCGAGAGGGCAGGAGAACTGTTTGGCAGATGGCGACGTTCCTGCAAAGCCTGTGCTGGGCTCGGTGCATCCTGCAGCCATCAGCACTGGTGGGGTTTGCTGTGAGGTGGGGAGGTGTTGGGGTTTGCATCACCCACGCCAGGCGCTCTCTGGGAATGAAGGCTCTGAGCTGCTCTGCTCCGGTGCCACCGATGCGGAGCGGTTATCGCTGCCATCTCTTCCCAGACTGGAGAAGGCAGGAATCAGGGTTGCTGAGCACACATTTCTGCCCAAATTACCTCATTTATTCAGAGCATCAGATGCCGCAGTCTTTCATGGCTCCTTGCAAGGCTGGGATCTGGTGGGATGCGGGGCTATTAATAGGAACCAATCTTTCCCCTTCTCCTCCAGGCTACAGACAGAAGGATTCAGACAAGGGCCCCTTTGATGTGGGGGAAGCACAAACAGTGCTGCTCGGGTCCCTCTGCTGCGCCAGTGCTTCCCTGGGGTTTGCCCACAGAGGGCTCAGAGCCACAGCACCTGGATGGGCACCTCGGGGCACAGCTCCCAACTTTGGCTGAAACAAAGCAAAGCAGCCCAGGAGGGAAAGCAGCAGTGTGACAGCAGCATGGTGTGGCTCTGAGCTCCAGTGCTGGAGCGAGCCTCCTTTGTCCCCCAGTTGTGGGGTGTGATGGTGGGGCAGGGTGGGGGCATTCCCTCCCAGCTGGACAGGGGATGGGGACGGGGTGGTGGCGATGCCATGGACTTGGTTCCCGCTGCTGTTTGCCTTGCTGCTAATGTCGGCATCGCGGCTGGACCAGGGACCAGGTGTGGGATATTGAATTCGGGTGAATGATCAGCCAAGGCAGCCAGTGCCAAGTTCTGTGCAAACAGACAGCGAGCATGAAGAGTCTGGAAAGAGGACTGAGCGGGGAGCGCTTCACGTGGCATTCCCATTATTTCCATGGGGCTTTCTGCAAAGGTTTTCCAGTGTGCTGGCTGGGAGCAGGTGGGCTCTCTGTGGCTTCCAAGATCAACAAACCCAACCCATGCCCACTGACCACATCCCTCACTGCCACATCCCCAGATTCCTCAAGCCCTTCCAGGGACGGTAACCCCACCACCTCCCCGGGCATCATATCTCAGTGCTTGTCCAGCATCTGGGAGAAGAAATTTTTCTTAGAGGCCAACCAGTCCAACACGGAAGGGCCCAACTGGCAGAACAAGGCGGGTGGTGGGATCCTGTTTGCTGTGTGCTCGCAGAGGGGCGCAGCCCGGAGCTCAGCCCCATTGCCCATGGAGCACAGAGCTGCCCCGCAATGCGCTCCGATGCTCGGGGCTGTCACTGCGGCTCTCAGCAACGCCGTGCGCCTTCCTCGGCTCTAATCAGATCATTAGCTTTCAGAAAGCTGTAGGAAGGAGGAGTGGCAGCACTTGAAAAGAGCTCAAAACAAGCTGAGTTGGAACCTTCAGACTTGTCATTGACTTTGCCTTTCATTCAGCCAATTATTTGTGACATATTTGAAGAAATTCAGGAGAGAGAGGAGCGAAAATCTGCATATACGCCGGCTGCCACGCAGACAGGGCTGAGCGCGGCGCGGGGCTGCACGTGGGGATGGGGACGGGGACGGGGACGGGGACAGAGCCGCAGGGTTCATAGAAGCGTGGAATCCAAATGAGGGTTGGAAGAGCCCACTAAGATCACGGGCGCAGCCCAGCAGCGCGTCGGCTCGCCCCCCCTCCCATCCCCTCTCCCGCTCCGTCGATCCAGGTCCGCGTTTTCGCCGCAGCCCCTCGCACCGCAGCCCCATGGCCGCCGCCGGC